GCCTCTGGGCTAGGGAAACAGAATGTTCTAAGGGACTTACATCTTTTCCAGAGCAGGATGGACGATATTAATATAATCATACAAATTAGGCCAAGAGGTACTACGGGCTTAAAGACAGGCTGAGCCTATAAAAGCCAAAGCCAAATAAAAGACTTTAAACAAAGGACTACATAGCCCAAAGCTGAAATATTATTGCTATAAATTCTGGTATATATGAGAGTGGATGACATTTACTTGTTGGCTGGTTTATGGATTTTTTTTTTTTTGACTCACTGCATGTTTTAGATAAAATCACAATGTGAAGGTATATACATCTAATAGCTGAGGTTTTTTTTCTTCTGGGTGGACTTGTTGACTAAGTTAGTATCATACACTAGTACTCAGTAACTTCAAGAGGCAGCAATGGGATGCTACGCATCATTTTGCTTCATGTCTCCCTGTGGCAAGGACGGAGACTCCAGCAGTGTGGGCATAGATGGGCCACACGATGGCGCAGCACCTCAATACTTGGTCCCTTGACAACAGAGTAGGTTAAAAAAAAAAGTCCACTGGGAGGTAGGTAGGATGCTGGGATTCTAGAACTCATTTAATAAATATGGAAAAGTGGTAAATGAATCTGCCATCTCCATTTTATGTTATTAAGGTCATGATAGTGTACAGATTTTCCTCTAAATCCTATTCCATTATGCCAAATGAGTGTTTAAAAGCCACAAAACCCACATAAAGCATCTACGTTATACTAAGGTGCTCATTTGCCCAACATCAGTAGTGATAAATACTGTCACCCCAAACATGCATAGATTAGTCAGACGGTAGTGACCACACACACATAAAATTTGAATAAGAATTTATTTCTTAAAATTTACTTAAAGGATTAGGGCTAATATATAACACTTATGATAACATTTAGAGTTATGTCAACAAAAATGAAAGCTGTGGTTATAATTAGCACATGCAATTCACTGCAAAGGTAAAAATACATACGATAGACGAGCTTTCCAAATGAAGTTACAGTAGGTGGGGCAAAACAGCAAGCGGATGTGAAAGGATTGCACTTGGAAGGAAATGGGACATAGCAAGGAAACAAAAAGGAGATACACCTAATGCTAATCACTGTACTGTCCTACTAGCAGATTGCACATTTATTTTTAGAGTATATTATTCAATATACATATATTATACATTAAGACTAAAGAATTTTCAAATATCTACCTTTAAAATATCCCTTTGTTTCTGGCACATCACGTTTTGGTATTCATCTAACAGCATTTGAAACCTGTAGTTATTCAGACAAAGCTTGAGTTCAAGGGATAAAAGATCTGGAACATCTGTTACCATCAGCCTTAAATGCATTTCATCATGATCCATCAACTTTAGTGAACTGGGTAATGAAGTTAAACTTACCCATTTGCAGGAACTATGGACTGCAAAAAGCCCTTAAAAATTTAGGGACGGAATGAGTAACAGAAAAGCTCACCCTGAGCTGCCACCTTTTTATTGCAACGTATACAAGAATATCATGCTAATGCACATACTAGTAACCTATATGATAGAAAAAAAAATCCAAAAGATGTTCCATATAGCTTTGGAAAGTTTTGACTTACATCTGAATTGTTTATAAACTATCTGAAAAGGAACTGCTGCCAAAGAACAGTCCAAAGAAGAAATAGGCTGTAAATTTGCTAGTTCATGCCTTCTTTGAAACTGATGACAAAGTCCAATTTTAGGCTAACCCTAAATACCTTGCCATTTTATGGCTCCATATTCTTTTAACTTATAGAAAAGTACAAAAAAATTTTTAAAGTAATCTTATCTGAGCAATATAATCTAATAATATGTATAATAGAAAGCTATCCCAATCAATTCTTTTGAATAATTAAACTTTAAATTTTATGTAGATTACTTTGATATTTTACTCATTTCAACAAAATAAAACCTTACTGACACAGAAACGTATGCTTTAGAAATTTCCTGTTAATACCAACTGAGCAAACTCAAACAGAGGAGAATGATGTGGAATATAACAGGAGGAAGATCTCTTCTGCTTGATTTACTTGGTCAATATATGCCAGTAAACGGAAATACTTTTGGGAATTCTATATGATTATTCTACTTCTACATTTATAGGTCATGGTTTTAACTAGTTAACTATGTGGGCAGAAAAAGACATCTTTATGTTTGATATCTATTTCTAAAACTACTTTAGATGCTCTACTTTAAAGATGAGCTTTAATAAATGTTTTGTAAGTATACTTCATTAACCTTTAACTTCACAATAAGAGTTATGGTCATTGGATGACTTCAGGTGGTAAAATCCCTTATCCAGGAATAAGGCTGAAATTAAACGAACAACTAGGTAGAAAAGAGAACATATTAATGATTTTGCTTTTTTCTCCAAGCTTCTACTCAAATGTTGAGTATGTTCCTGAGTGCTGACTGATCCACACTAAAAAAGGATTAAATTTTTAGGTTTTAATGGGTAGAAAGTCCGAAGTTTTATAGTTTTCTAATAATTATTCAGCACTATCCTTTAATGAGAGATGAAGGCAGGATACCATAGATACCAGTAACTGACAGTCAAATTACAATAGCAACACACGTAACATGTTAGATCTTTTTTTTTTCTTTAATCCTAAAGGGGGCAACGGCAGTTGTAGAAGCAGTGAATTAGTTTTGTCCACAAAGGCTGTTTTCTTATGTGCTGGCATTACTTTAAACGGCATTTTTAGACACTAAAGATTTAAAGAGTAATAAATCCACTAACTTTATTAGACTAGTTTTTACATAAATAAACCTAAAATATTCTCTGCTTATCTAAAATACAATTTACGTGCATGAAAACATAGATTATTCTAAGACATGCTCTAGGAAAGTAATTTTGTATTTAAAACAAGTTTTATGATTGCTTTTTAGGGCAAAGATGTACATTACATATTAGTGCTCAAATATATATTCATTTCCTGAATGAATTTTTGCACAGTAACCAATATATCCACTTAACGTCTAAAGTGCTCTTGTGGCCGTGGGCATTCACTTACTGTACCATGCTCTATACAGATTTTAACATGCAAATCTGCTTACATGAAGTCCTTTCTTCAATAACCCTTCATTCTCATCCCCTTAGATCACGAGTTCACATTTTAAAACTGCCCCCAAAATGTAGAAACTTCACACTACAACATGGCTACTTGTTATGAGGAAGGTTACTGCTAAACACGATTACAATAACATGACTACTTATTTTTGAGGAAATGGAAAATGTAACAGGTATAAATTTCCTGACAGACATATATAGCAAGACAAATCCAGTCCTGATCTGGCCCAGCTTTTGATTACCAAGATAATGGTGGTGTTGCCACTATCTTGTGTGAATTTGGGTCTCTCTGTCCCTAATCTTCCTCATTCTACCAATCTACTTTTGACTAAAGAAGGAAACTGAATATATAAGAATAAAGCATCTACTCACAGACCATATATGTGAACGAATTGAAAAGTATTAGGCATTATATAAATGCAAGAATATGAAGGATAAAGTAAACAGGAAGTCTAACATGAACAATATTCTGACTGAAAACTAGAATTACATTCCGATTATAAATGTATACCAAGTTTTCTTAGTCTTTTATTCTTTAATAACCTCCAGAAACTATTTTAAGTCTGCCTGGCTTCTGTAACTTAATTATGACAAAAACTTATTTCCTCTGAACTCACTTGATAGTAGTAGTCAATGACTAATGATGCATGACGGTTTCCTCTTACTTCATCAGCCCCTATCTTTAGCCCTTGCCTCCATGTCACATGTCGTGGTTAGGGGACAGCATAAATGAATGAGTGGCTTTAGCACTAAACTCTGGAGGTCTGGCTCACTTCTTTCCTAAAGAAGAGGTTCAAAATATTCCTAAACAAGGTGGGTGCAGTGGCTCATGCCTATAGTCCCAGGGAGGCTGAGGCAGAAGGATTGCCTGAGCTCAGGAATTCACAACCAGCCTGGACAACATGGCAAGATCCCATCTCAAAAAAAAAAAAAAAAAAAAATCCTAAATCACAATGTGGAACTAAGTTCCCCTAGAACTCACAGATACCAAAACATTATCTCTTTATTAAATGTCCCCACAGTGAGGATATTTGCTCAGATCAATATGTACATTTTTAGGTTCTGTTTTGTTTTGGTAAATACCACTTGAGTCCTCTCAGTTTGCTGCCAACACTTATAAGAAGAAAATTTTAAAATCTTGCCCTACTTAAAAATAAAAACAAAGTATATTCAAAACACACTTTTGCTTTCTGATAAGTGGTGAAAAAACAAACCAAAAAACCCCCCAAACACACTTTAAACTGAAAACATATTGTATAAAGTGCTTCATCACCAAATTCTTTGAAGTCTTAAGGACGCTTATATATTTTATATATGTGCATAGAAAATGTCAACAATTTAAGCCTTTACAAATGGCAAACAATTTTTAAATGTGGCATTCCTAGTTCTTATGAGTTTCTGAGATGGATCTTTAAAGAAGTTGTTAATAATAGAAAGCAAATTTTTGAAAATGACACTGATTATATATTTAAAAAAACATTTTTAAGATGTCAAAGCTCCAGAATTCCTCCAGCAACAACTGGCAGCATCATTCCCAATGGAAGGGAACTAAGGAATATTTTTATGTTGATATAAATATGAGCCCCCCCCCTTCTGTGGTCAAACTACAAAAGCTGGGCTCATATAGTTATGTCCTGTGGACCTCTTTTTTAATTATGTTGTCAGGCGAAGTAGACAGTCTAGACCTTGTTCCTCTAATTTTTTTATATTGACTATTTCTAAGCCACTTCATTTGATGACTACTTGCATCAAAATTAGTATAGCTGTGCTAAGTACATCACTGCTTATTATTTAAATACCTTCTGTATCGCAAAACAAGAAGTTTTACTTTATAAATTTCAGACAAGCTTTCTGTTTTTCTTCAGTGCAAACATCCTGAAACAGCACAAAGTCATTCAGCTATTCAGAGGATAAAGTCAGTTTATGTAGTGCTTAAAGGAGAATCCCAGATATTCTGGGATGGAAATAGCCCACGGAGAGTTCAGTACATTTTTGTCCTTAAGGGCAAATGATCACCTTCAGAGAGTGAAGATTATTTTTTATCTGAATTCACAGATATTTTTAGCTTTACTTCATAGGTACTTCCGAAGCTGTAACAGAAACCAGTCTTTCACTGAGGCATGTAGCCGCCTTGTCTTACAGTCTGTGGTAAGTAACTTTTAGGCATTCCTTCATCGAGCACAGCCTCCATCCCAGCTGTTTTGAATCTCTCTCCTTGTCCCTCAGTACCTGGACCAAAAGCATCTGCTGCAGAAACTTCCTGAAACATTTTCATTTGCCCAGATCCACAGGACTGTGAAATACCTGAAATCTGCTGCTGTTTAAGTCTAACGAAATCTTCCTCATTGACTGATGAAACTTGATTTGACCTTTCAAAATGTGAAATATCTTGACTGGTTTCATGTTGACTACAGTTTTGTTTGAAATACTGTTGCCTGGGCAAAATGCCATCACTGCCGTCTACATTATCTACTAATTGTAGATCTTCTGGCCGCTCCTCTGAATCTAACAAGGGCTGGGTGGACTCAGATCTTGAGAAGACTTGGACCGATGGAACCTGGTGTCTGTAGCCACTGTGTACCACAGTAGAGTACTGGACAGTGCTCGAAGTATTTTGTGCAGACTCATTTTCATCACTGCTAGAAATGCTTGGCCTTGAAGAAGACATGCATGAAGACCCCCCAATACCACTGCTGTGTCCTTCAGTACTAACTTTTTCCTTTTTGAATAGTTCCAGTGTTTTCAGATCTTCTGGAAAAGCCTTTTTATCATTTGCTTCTATTTCCACAACACTTACATCCGTGAAATTGCCATCGGAATACATTTGATCTTTTGAATTAAAATTGTGCTAAAAAAGAGAAAAAATGGATAATTACTTATGGCATAAGTTCATTTAGAAACTCTCAGATATATATGGCAAATATTAAATAAAGCCACAGAGATAACACATCTCTGAAACTTCTCAGTAACTTTCAGTGGTGAAGAAATAACCCATATTATGTCACTAAATCACTGTCAACTACTCAAATTGTGGATATTATAAAATAAGTCTGGCCAGGCGCAGTGGCTCATGCCTATAATCCTAGCACTCTGGGAGGCCAAGGCAGGAGGATCACTTGAGATCAGGAGATCGAGACCAGCCTGAGCAAGATCAAGACCCTGTCTCTACTAAAAACAGAAAGAAATTAGCTGGGTGTGGTGGCACTCGCCTGTAGTCCCAGCTACTCGGCAGGCCAAGACAGGAGGATCGCTTGAGCCCAGGAGTTGGAGGTTGCTGTGAGCTAGGCTGACGCCATGGCACTCTAGCCCAGAAAACAGAGCAAGACTCTTTTAGACAGAGTCTAAGAAATCTGAATCAGGCTGTATTTCCTCAGAAGTTCCAAATTAATATTGTTGGTGTTACTATTTGTAGACCATTAGCTTATCAAAATGTATTTAATTATTTCATGCATGCACTATGAAGCAGCCTAGGAGTAACTAGATAGCAAACTGGAGAACATTAAGAAAAATGGAACCTTAACAGACACTGAGGTTTTGTAGAATACAAAAACATATAACACATTTTAATCTGTTATAATAAAATTCAAGGATTATTGGAGGATGATAAATACAAATGATTTCCCCTTTGGGGTATATTTAAAGAGTTTAGTGTAGATTCCCAGAAATCATTTCATCAGTGCTAAATGGTAGACTGTTAAACTTGTTTCTAATATTCAATCCAAAATGCTTGCCTTATAACAAAGCTATCCTCATAGGAGTTTTAGCACTTTAAGTTTTCAGTTTGCAAGTTCAATGAAATATTTGTTTACTAAACACAGAATCAGGACAAATACACTAAGATGATATACTGTAAGTATTTTAAATTTTGATTAAAATTTTCATTATGTAACTTTTATTTTCATTTATTCTTTGGGATTTAGCCTGAATATCTCTTGGTTGAACTCTACAAATGTATCCCAATAAACAACTCAGAAACATTTTATCTTTCTTACCCTTGGAGGTGTGTGAGGTGACCACTGGGCAATATGACTCTTTGAAGGGTCTGGAACATTAGGCCAGATGTGTTTTTTAATTCTGAAGAGAAAAGAACCGCATGTAATAAACAATGAATAGTCCCTATTTCTAAACATGTTAATGTAAGAATCTTAAGAATCAAACCAATGAACTAAATCTAAAAAAGGAAAACCTACTTTACCCCAAAGCCAAACAAAAATACTATTTTTCTTGTAACCAATAGAAAAATATTGTTGAAAATGAATAAGGATCTTAATGTATTCATAATAAAGACCTGTTAACAAGGCTAAAGCTAATAATCAGTATTCCATTTTTTAAAAAAATCTCTCAAAATTCTGCAGTAAAAACCACTTAAAAACTTTATCCAGGCCACAACATATTGTGGTACACCCCCTCCCAACAAAAGCAAAAATGTTCAATTTCCACTTAAAATAACCCAGATAACAAATAAAAAATGTTCAAATTGATGCCAAATAAAATATAATAATCTTTTTTACAGAGACGAAAGATTAATATTTACCCAATTCACTTGGGATAGCCATATTATCAAAAACTTACTTAAGTATGTTTACTTTAATACAGTTCTTAGAACAAAGTTAGAGGTACATTAAGTATAGAGGAAGTGAGCTATCTTGAAAATAAGTTCACATATAAAAATTAAACAAAAAAATAAAAATGACTAATAAGAATGGTGCTTCTGGTAAGGCAGAGTGAGAGCCTATCAGACTGACTCTCCTGCAAGAAACACCTATACAATCTGGATGTAACATGAAAAAGCAGTAAAGCTGACAACCTAGACAAATAGACCAACAAACCAATGGATGCATTCCTTGAAAGACAGAAATTATCAAAACAGATTCAAGAAAAAGAAAGCTCTGATATACTTACAAAGAAATTGGATTTTTAATTAAAAACCTTCCCACAAAGAAAACTGTAGGCCCAGATGGCTTCATTTGTGAATTCTGTCTAACATTTAAAAAGGCAATAGTACCAATACTACACAAACTCTTCCAGAAAATAAAGGGTAACATGTTCCCATTCATTTTATATTACCCTGATTCCAAAACCAAAGACATCACACACAAAAAAGGACAGAGTAACATCATTCATGAATACAGATGTAAAAATTAACAAATTGAATGTAGCAAAACCCAAGGAATGCAAGGATGGTATATGAAAATCAATAATATTTACTATATTTATGGAAGGGAGGAGAAAAACCATATGATCTCAATAGATTCAGAAAAAGCACTTGACAAAATTCATCCATTCATGATAAAAACTGCCAGCAAAACAGAATTATAAGAACTTCCTCCTGGAGGAAGTAGTAAGGGGGAAAAAAAAACTCACTTAATCTACAGCTACGATCACATGTACAATGAAAGACTAAAGGCTTTCTCCTCTAAGTCAAGAATGTATAAGATGTTAGCTCTCATCACTTCTAGTCAACATTGGACTGGTGGTCCTAGCCAGTGCATTAAGACAAGAAAAAGAACTAAAAGCATAAAAATAAGAACAACTATTATTACTAGGCAAGCAGCATGACTGTGTATGTAGAAAATCCTGAGGAATCCAAAAGGCTACTAATAAATGAATTTATCAAGGTTTCAGTATACAAAATCAATATATTTTTTAAAAATATAATGTCTATATACTAACAACAATTAGAAAATTTTAAAATTCCATTTACAGTAACAAGAAAACATACTTAGGAAAAAATTTAACAAAAGATGTGCAAGGGCCGGGCGCGGTGGCTCACGCCTGTAATCCTAGCACTCTGGGAGGCTGAGGTGGGAGGATCGTTTGAGCTCAGGAGTTCGAGACCAGCCTGAGCCGTCTCTACTAAAAATAGAAAGAAATTAGCTGGACAACTAAAAATATATAGAAAAAATTAGCCGGGCATAGTGGTGCATGCCTGTAGTCCCAGCTACTCGGGAGGCTGAGGCAGGAGAATCGCTTGAGCCCAGCAGTTTGAGGTTGCTGTCAGCTAGGCTGACGCCACAGCACTTTAGCCTAGGCAACAGAGTGAGACACTGTCTCAAAAGAAAAAAAAAAAAAAAAAAGAAAGAAATAGATAGGGACTTATATAGATAATCGCTTTTGGCAAAGGTACCAAAGCAATTGAATAGGAAACAGATAGTCTTTTCAAAATATATGACATTAGAACTAGGTATCTGTGGGAACAAAATGAACCTTGACCTTGACCTTCCACGATGCACAAAAATAACTCAAAATGGGCCATGCGTGGTAGCTCACACCTGTAATCCCAGCACTTTGGGAGGCCAAAGTGGGAGCATTGCTTGAGGCCAGGAGTTTTGAGACCAGCCTGGGCAAAAATAAATTAAAAAAAAATTAGCTGGCCATGGTGGCACATGCCTATAGTCCCTGGTACCTGGGAGGCTGAGGCAGGCAGATGATTTGAACCTGAGTCCAATGGTGCAATGAGCTGTGACCACACCACTGCACTCCAGCTTTGGTGACAGAGACCCCGTCTCAAAAAACCAAAATACCCCCAAACTCAAAATGGATCACAGACATAAGAGCTAAAACTATTGAATTTCTAGAAGAAGACATCAGAAAATATTTGTGACACTCGGTTAAACAGAGATTTCTTAAACAGGACACAAAACGTAGGTACCAGAGGGAAAAAAACTAAAATTAAAAACTTTTGCTTTTCTAAAGTCATAGTTAAGAAAACAAAAAGGCAAAGCACAGACTGAGTTAAAATTTGCAAAACAAATTTTGATAAAAATTTTGTAACCAGAACATACAAAGAACTTTTATAGCTCAATATAAACAAAATAACCCCATTTGGGAACAGGCAAAAGATTTCAATAGACACATAACAAAAGAAGATATGTAAATGACACATGAAAGGATCCATTTCTAGTCATCAGAGAAATGGAAATTAAACCACAGTGAGATAGTACTCCACACCCACTAGAAAGAATCACTAAAATTAAAAAACTGATAGTACCAAGTATTGGTGATGATATGGAACACTGCTGGTGGGAATGCAAGATGGCATAGTTAAACATACACTTACCATAGGACCCTGCATTCCTACTCCTAGTTATTTATTCAAGATAAATGAAACCATATGCCCACAAAAAGCATTGTATGTGAACGTTCATAGCAACATTATTCATAATAGTCAAAAACTGGAAACAAGCTAAACTTCCCTCATGGATGAATATTTTGATATATCCATTCTACAGAATAACTACTCAGCAATACAAAACAGAAAAATATTAGTATATGCAACACCATGGATGAACCTCGAAAATATGGTAAGTGAAAGATGTCATACACAAAACATATGCTATTTGATTCCATTTATATAAAATTCTAGAAAAGGCACAACTACAGTTACGGAAAGTAGATCAATGACTGCCTGGAGTCAGGGAGGAAGAGGATAGACTATAAAACAGAATGAGGAAACTTTTTACGGTGATGGAAATGTTCTACATCTTGATTATAGTGCTAGTTATATATTAGCATATAATTATAAAAATTCATCAAACTATACCCTTAAAATGGATGAATTTTATTGCATATAAATTATACCTCCATAAAGCTATAAGGAAAATACAAATATATGAATAAGGGTACTTACAGGTCTCGCTTATTAAAACAGAACAACACTCCCAGAAGAGTTGTCAACAGGAATGCTAAGCAAACAGGCACAACTATTGCTTCGATTTCTCCTTGAGCTGGAAAACAAAGAAAGGGGTGTGATGGGAAATAACTGTTGACACATACCAAGGAGAAATAATACAACTTCCCAACCAGACTACTTTTGAAAAGATGAAATACCATCCTAATTTTTTTTTAGTCTTTTCAGGCTTAAAGCTAGTTTTCCCACCACCCTCCTTAGGAAATCATATTCTAACCATTTATGCCTTACATAGTTTACCTGGCCACATAGTAAGCATAAAATAAATATATGTTGGTTGGGGGATTCAAATGACATAGTTCAGTTAATTGGATAATCTACCCAGTGAATCAGAGCTTTCAAATTGTCCCTTTATTACATTTATGATCTGCATTCAGCAGAATCTTAGACAAATTATATCAGAACAAGTATGAATACTGGGTAAAACTGGAAAAGCTACAGAATAACCTAATTGAATTAAAAATTTAACCTTCTATGAGGAATAAAAACACAACTCTCAAACAATTTTTATTAGCTATTTACCCATTTTCGAAAAGGTGATATATCTGATACAGGGCTTAGGACTGATTTTTCTTCCTCTTTATATTTTACTGTATAGTCTAAATTCCCTGTAATGGGATATTATTTAATGCAATATTATATACAATACTGCATTACATAATACAGTATTACTTTCATACAAAGTAATGAAAATAATACTGCAGCTATATACATACAAAGTATGAAAGTAATATTACAGCCATATACTACTCACTCACTTTTCTCTTCCCACTACACACAGCCATATCCCTTTGTAAGTAACCCTACCATCCTATGAAGCCCAGTGGAAATCAAGAAATCAGATCAATGCTTGGGAATAAATTATGGGTTGGCATATATTAACTCTTAAATGCTAAGATATATATAATGCCAAATCTAATTTAGGCAGAACTTTTCTTTTACTAAACTTAAGCCTTTATGTTTTCATGCTCAGCCCTTTGCTCATGCCACTTTCTAAGATGCGACCCTTTCCTATTTGTCCACATCCTAACTTTAAGGCTCAAGTATTGTCTCCTCCATAAAACCTTCTTTGACGATGACCCACCTCACCCCCCAACTGGTATCTTTAAATTCCTACTTTATTTACTGTCTACATAGCCCACTGGTTCTCCATTTGTTTTGTTTACTTATGCCATATTTCTTCAAGTAAGCTGTTAGGTCCTTGGTGGCAAGACCCATGCCATGTGAAGAAGCCACAATGGATCCATGAAACAACAGATAGGTAATTGAAAAAAAGCAGATTATGAAGTAATACTAATGAGCATGATCTAATTTTTGGAATAAAATGTATACATAGGAAAGACTAAAAGATACAAAAATAGATTATTTTTGGGTAAGGGATTACGATTGATTTTTCTTCCTCTTTGTATTTTACTGTACAGTCTAAATTCCCTCCTTATAATGAACATTAATATTTTAAGAGTTTATTTTTCTAGAGATTATGGTATAAAGTTTTATTTAAAGTATTATTTGTTATATATCTATTCTATTAACATACCACGACATGGGACAAACCTCATCCCAGAAACTATTAATACATTCATTGTTAGCCCTGAAAGCAAAGCTCAGAATCTTTTATTATCTGTTTTATGTAGTCACTCATCTATTTATTCTCTTAATTAGCAAGCATTCAACCAACAAGGAACATGGAGCTTACTATTTATCATTCACTGTGTTGGCACTTGGAGGTGGGGTTTATAAATACAATTACAATATAATGTAATTTCTATAATGATTCACAATGTAGTGGGAACAAGAAAGAATTTAGCTTAAGTATGCTTTAGGGAGGCTACAGGAACAGCCAAAACAAGAGAAGGTGAGGACCTAAATGAGGACAATGCAATGGGGAAAGACATGAAAAGGTGGAGAGCATGAGGAGGAGGTTACGGTCAAAGAAAGAAATGATGAAAGTGTAGGCAGAAGAAATAAATAAGCACGATCAACAGGACCCGACAATTGGCTTATGTGAGAGAGAAAGATACAAAGAAATGTATTGCAATTATATCTAAATTTCTGGCTTTGGCAAAGTTTTGGGTGGTTGTAGCATGGAACAGAGGAAGAGAAACATGTTTGGGAAGGAGAGGATGGGTGAAGTCATGGACAGGGAGTTTGAATGGGCAGATAAGAAAATAGGGCTAAGAACAGAGCTCTAGGGAATACAAACCATTTAAAAGTAGAGCAGAAAAGGAGAACAAGGAGGAGGCACTTGTGTTTTACAAGAGAAAGGAGACTCAGAAGAGTGCTACTAGAAAAACAAAGAAAAGTATGGTTAGAAAAACCAAGGGAGGAGGGAGTTTCAAGGATGAAAAAGCCAGAGTCAAATGCTAAAAAAAGGACAAAAAAGAAGACTAAAAAGCTTGAAGTGGATATGATAACTAACAGGACTTCTATGAGTGACACCAGAAAGGATTCAGTGGAATGCTGGGGTTGGGAGCCTGATTTCAGCAGCTTAGACTAAGCTGGAGGTAAGGAAGTAAAGACTAGGGTGGACTAGTCTTTCAAGTAATCTGTCTACAAAAGAAAGGAACAAGAGCAGAGAAGGGAAGATACCACACCCAAACCAGGGAAGAAAAGGAACCTACTTGGAAAGATATACAAATTCTTTTGGGATTTAGAGTTTAGGTGAATTTGGTCAGAAGCAGTTAATAAAACACCAAAAAGGTAAGGAATAATATTTCCTATAGTTTAAAGAAACAACAAAACTAAAATATAAAAATCATAATTTATGAATACTTTGTTTCTATGAATTCAAAGATGCACTTTTCCACAAAATATTAGTATATAAACTATGTCCATTTCTAACCTGATTAAGCTTAAAAAGGGAAAAGAAAAAAATAAAAGATCAAACTTCATTATTTCTTACCAAACTTTGGTGTAGTAAAAGTGAATTCTGGACCATCCTTCCCACCTTCGTCTGTGTACGCTGCCATTCGGACCATGTATAATGTGTCACTAGTCAAAGAGGACAGTGTATATTCTGTGTGGGATGAATCCACATTCACAGCTGGAAGAAATAAAAAACTGCTTTATTCAACTACTCCATGTTTTTGCTTCACGTGGCCTATATTTGGCACTGTATTAGAAGGGAATAAAAATATTTTTGCCAGAAAGCAACTTTCATAACTCTGATTATTCTACACATAATATTCTTATATAAGCACAACACAATATTTTTTCTATAGAACTATGAAAACAACTATAAGGTATACTCTCAGGTATCTCCTGATAATATAGTATGGTAAGTTGTACAACATAAGTTAGTATTTAAAAGCTTAGGAAAAAAACATTTGAGTCTTAATAACTGATATGGTTGTATTACCAGTTTCATTTCCAATGTTGGTTCTATAAAATATAGTATAATTTCTGATAAATCCATTCTGAACATCAACAGGAAGTTGGTCCCACTCTAAGACAGCTTCATTTTTCCCTACTTTTTTTGTCCGAACAGTAGGTCCTTTGGAAGGTGCTGAAACAGAATAAATGTATTTGCTAATTGAAAATCATTAGAATTTAGTAAAATTTCCTTATCATAAAATTATTTGAACATAATGAGACACATTCTTACTTAAAAGTGATATGACTTTGTTAATACGAAACTCAACATTTTTCAAAGAAAGTGAGTTTGGACTTACGAGCTTGTTTAAGATATGCCTTTACAGATTCAGGGCTTCCTGGTCCATCAGCATATACTGGAGTAACTGTTATCAAATAGCATTTGCTCTCTGCCAGGTATCCTAAAGTAAAAATAGCAGATTAGCATTTTTTTCTCATAAGAAAAAGTAAAATTAATTCCTTTCTTTTTTACATTATAATTTCATAACCACTTAACTTTCTTTTAAAACTGCAGTTTTCTAAGTAAGCATTACCTTTTGTGTACTGGATTCAGCCTTAATAGGGTAAAATTGTAAAAGTATTGCCAATACAGTAGATAAAAAAATATATTGTTAATAAAAGTAATGACTGTATTTAAAACAATGATCTCAAATTACTCTGGTCTTACTTAAGAGTTAACAATTTTTGTATATCTTACCTAATTCTCTGAGAACTGCCTAATGAGCAAGATACCACTAATAAGACCAAGGGAAAAAGCACTAATGGACCTGGTTTGTTGGGTGAGTTGGAAAAAAGAATTAGTGCTATTCCCCCCCCCCGCTTTATTTATAATCCCTCCACATTATCGCAGTAACTTATTTTTTAAGCATGCACCAGTAAAATTTTTCTTTTTATACAGTGTATTATCTGTCCACATCAAAAAATAAGGTGCTTGTTTTACTGAAGTTTATACCTTCAACAAGAACTTATTTTTCCTTAACTATTACATTCATGAAGTTATATGCTCCTTTGCCTTCTTAAATAGAGTGATGTTACCTTTTCTTGATGATTCAATATTATCAAGAAATGAAAATTTTTTATATTCTGCTGTAACAGTGATGTTTTCAGGGCTACTGAGCTATATGGGGTTACATGCCCAATCTTAATGTCTCCAGAGCCTCTGCTATGCTTTTAAAAAAAAGTTTTCCATTGTCTAGTTATTTCCAATCTGTCTCTTCCCTAGTTACACCATGTTTTTAATTTGATAAGGTTGGTAAACTAGATAACCAAGCTTATTAAAACTATATATTAAATAATAGGTTAATGAGGGCCAAAGAGCCTATTTCATGAAAAAGCGTAAAAACTTTACAGGAGGTATCTCTTCTCTGCTTAGGGCTCTTCTCTGATTAATCATTTTATTCACAGCTGAATTCTTATTCATCTTCTGCTTTATTAAAAAAGCTCATTCAAGCTGGGTGTTTTTTTCTTTAGAGTTGTTATATTACTTTATAGCCACTTAATAAACAGTACCTTAACACAGAACAATCCATTTTGGAGCTCTGTAATATCATTACTTCCTATCCTTTCTTAGTGCTTCCAATTGAAAGACATAAAGAAATCTGAGTTCTAGTCTGCTTCCCCTATTTGATGGCTGTAAGAAGTTAAATAAGTCATCCAGATGCTCTACGAAACTATTTTCTCACCTGAAGGATGAGGAAGTTAAATCAGGTACAAAGAACATACAACAGCAGTCAGCAGCAAAGGTTGGATTCGCTTATATTTCTCTATTACTTTACAGCTTTATGAGTCTTCTTTGATGATAAAACAGTATTAGGGTATAAAAAAAGACAATATTAACCCCACTCTGTCCATAAAGAGATCCTATAGTTCAGAGTGGTTAAGTGTGACTTGCTGAGAGTCACACATCTAATGATTAGTGGAGCTATGATAAATCAGAAGTCTTTTCAATGGGCTACAACACCTATAACAGAAAGGAATAATGCAAAAGAAAAATCCGTCTAAAGAGTTAGAAAAAGGATATCAACTTAAGTGTTTCTACCCAGGTATACCTCTTATATAGGTGCGATACACAGTACCATCTTCTTGTTGCCAGTCTGGGATACAGGGAGATTTATCCGATAACACACACCACTCAAGTATATATTTGTTTGGAGATTTGCTTGGAGTAGTCCACTCTACCCAAAGCATGTTATCTTTGGGGAATGCTTTAAGATCCATTACGGGGTGAGCAGCTTTAAAACAAAGTTTAAATACTGATATAATAAATGAATATTCAAAAATTTGAAATTTCCACATTTTATAGTCATTTTCAAAATGTGATTTATCAATTTCTGTAGCATATATTAATATGCATTTCCTTGCATAAAAGCACTTTATTATAACTTACATGTGAAGTAGACAATTTATTTTTATTATTTTTAAAATTACTTTTTTGGAGATGGAGTTTTCATTGCCCAGGCTGAGCCTTGAACACCTGGGCTCAAGTGATCTTCCCGCCTCAGCCTCCCAAGTAGCTGGGACTGACTATAGGCACATGCCACCACACCCAGCAAATTTATTTTTCAACTTAAATTTTTGCTTCCACCAAATTCTTCAAATATTTTGTGTTATGTAAGTTTGCAATTGCAATTTTTTCTTTTTTGAAAGCAACAGATAAAGCTACAGATAAACAACATATTTAAGACATATGCATTTGAAGTTCTCAAAATCTTGAAATAAAACTTTTAAAACCAGGTAAGTAATCAGAAAAATGCTTAAATGAATAAAGTAGCTTACTGCAAGTTTAAGTGAGCCATGCAGTGATGTAAGTATTTCATGCATCCTGATGAAATCTGCCTGCTGAATGATTTCTAAAAATATGATCATCCCTAATACTGAGAAGACAGTCAGTCTTAGACTGACTGTTTTTTATGGGAGCCCTGTCGATACCTAACCACCTTTATTCCATCCATGAGTCAGGTTCCATCTCACAGATACAAACCTTGAAAGTCACAGGCAGGAATAGTTAAAACAGATGCATCTGATCTGCCAACTGCATTTCTTGCTGTTAGGGTTGCTATGTAACGATCATTTGTGAGATTTACTGTCAGTTTTGAGTCATTAACTGTGTAATTTTGTAAACGTGATTTCCATCTTGTAAGAGTCACTTCATAACCCAAGATTTTTCCATTGGCTTCAAAAGGAGGCAATGTCTGTAATAAGTTAAAAAAATTATTTCATAAATCTTGACTAAAGTTAATTTTTCTTCATGTTCACAAATTCTGCCATTGTGCTAAATCTCTAAATATTTAATTAGAAAGGACTGGCAATCTCATTTTAAACTTGTAATAAAGTAAAATTGCTACATACTGAATGAAGAGTAAAAGCATGACCTAACTAAAGGAGGGGAAGTAGCATTCTGTTAGCTTTTACTTCTATATACAATCCTGCACTGTGGCTATGTGGGCCTAAATAATTTATTTTATGCTTATTTTTCTGTCTTTTTTTAATATGATATACTCATGCACATTTATCAATTTATCAGCATACTTTTTGATTATCTCAAACCTTTATTAATTATTTTCTGAGGCACTCTGGAAAATTCCATAAAGTATAAGACAGGGTCCCTCTTCTTAAAAAACTTATACTTTCATAGAACTGTGCTTACTACCTATTATCTGTAGTTTATGAACCTGACTTCTATATAATATAAAGCTTTAGCTTTGTGTTTCTATTTATTGAAAATAGTTATCAAACACTTTGCTAATATTAAGATGAATAAAAACTTAATTGTTAAAAAACCTCCACTCATATACCACATAAAATGTATTTGTATAAGAAATAAAAGAATATAAACGTGATTTTTACCTTCCACATGAGTTGTACAGATCTATAGCCATGAGTATGGGATGGATCTATTTTATACCAGAAGCTTGGTGCTTTAGATGGTCCTAAAGACAAGACATAAACTTTTAAAATAAAAAGTTTTAACAGTAAAATATAATCCTACAAATTATTCTTTGTTCTTAATATTCTTGTCCTTCAATTGCATGGTGTTTCTAACTATTTATACCAGCATTTGCCCATCCCATCATGATACCGCTGGGTCTTCCTTAGAGTGATAGCCTCATGATTTAGATCATATTAACTCTTATAATTTCATGTTCTTTACTGTTTGGGTGCTGCACCGTACTCATGTATTTATCTATTTGAACTTCCTGTACTGACAGGCCTTTTCCCCAGCCTTCTTGGTTTGCCTGTCCTCTCTTCTTTTTTTGTCATCTATAATTACCTCTTCTTGATTAACACACACTGCTTGGATTTTATCCAAATCCCTTTTTATTCTATCGAATATTATATCTTATGATTATATTTATAAAAATTTTGAAAAATCAGTTGATACTATTGATTTTTTAAAGACAAACTTTAAAATAAGAATCAGTTGATACTACTTATTGCTAAAAATCAAATTGAAAAATATTTAAATACATGCCTAAAATCCCTAAATATACATAAGAAAATAAAACAAATTTAATGTAGTAAAAGTAGTATAAGTTTATTACTTTATGTAGGGGTGATTCAGAGTGACAGGATATAATAAAAACAAATTCACAGTATTGCTGGGACAATCACCAATCATGTCAAAAAGCACTTTATAAAACAAAGTGTTAAATATCAGTAATTAGGTTTTAAAATTTTCTATAGTATCAATTTTCAAAATTTTTATAAATTGTAAACATGGTATTCAATAGAATAAGAAACAATTTGAATAAAATCAAAGCAGTAATATGTCGATCATGAAGAAGGAATTACTGATAACAAATCAAAGAGAAGAGGACAGGCAGATCAGGAAGGCTGGGAAGAAGGCTGCTGGTACAGGAGGTTCGAATAGATAAATACACAAGTATGGTGCAGTACTCAAACAGAATAAATAACATGAAATTATAAAGAAAATTTTATGGGTCAGAAATGTTTCCTAACATAAAGACAACCTAGAGGTTTCATTCACTAAGTTGAAAAAATGCTTAGTTCAATGATTCGTAACTTTTGGGCTCTAGAGATCTCATTGATTTGACAAAGATTATGTTTCCTCTTCCCCAGAAAAATGCACTCACGCACTAACTGCAGTATTTTACCTACATTTTCAGGTATCTCATGAACTCCCCCAAATGGATCCATGTACCTTTACAGGCTCCAAGAATCCTAGTTTAAGAGTTCCTCGTCAAGACAAAGGAATCTGGTGAAGGAGTTGCAAACCAGCAGTAGCAGGAGTGCTTTCTTTCCTGGCATTTATGAGAATGTGAGAGAAAATTCTTAGGAAAGAAGGGTACTTTTTTGCCTTTCACATTCTCAATTAACATAATGATCTAGGTGTCTAGTAGAGCTGGAAGTAAAGGGATATAGGTGCTAGAGGAGGTTTTTAAGCCACAACTGTTGCCCTTGAGACCCAAAAGGTCAGACTGTGACAGCAAAATGTTCAAAAAGAAAAATCTATATGCCACAGGATTATTTCTTGATGGCTACACAAGAAATGAGTAACAATTAGCTGCTTTGGGAGGGAATCTTTAGATTGTATGCTCTTTTGTGCCTTTTGTATTCTATACTATACACATTGTATTGTCTATGGAGGAAATGGAAAATAAAAATAAACCAACCAACCAAAATTCCAGGATCAATCTTTTTCTAGGGATTTATCAAGTACTGGTAAAAAAAAAAAAAAATGAATAAAAGGCATAGTACAAATATTTTTTTTGATAGTGACAGTCTAAGGTATATTTTGCCAGATAGTGTGATTTTAATGGTTCAGGCTATGATTCTCTCTAGTTAGAGGTATCTCTGGACCACACTCCTTGAATAAAATGTTCAGGGTTTATCAACAGTTAAGTCAATGGTTTTCTGATGGTATCTAAGATACCATTCCATGATAATTTTCTTTAATTAGGTATCAAATAGATTTATATTACCAATAATGCATATTAAATTTTACTCTTGATGTTCTTAAAGATGAAAGTGTAAAATACTACAGTTTGAATAAAATGATCACAAAGTAAGAAGTAGTGAGGTCTACGTTGTTGATATAAGACACAATTTGCAGCCAGGATTCTAATAGCTTTATTTGTTCACACACTTATTTACTTACTATCTTCATATGTGATCCCACTTGCTTCTTCACTCCAGTCACTCCAGAATCCCTTACCATCTTCCTTCATGCAGCGAATCCTAAACACATATTCTGTAAAAGGTTTAAGATCCTGGACAGTGAATGAAGATCGGGTAGATGCTGTATCTTCAGGAGGAATCTGAAAACAAAGCAAGTTGACCAATAAAAAACTCAATAAATAAGGTCTTCCTAAATTGTGTTAGAATTCAGAAACTAATTTAATGAAACACTAATATATTAAACTTAACCTCTGGAGAGAAATAAATGAAGTAAAGAAGCAGTCAAAATCAGTAACGTTACTAGGTTTAAAAGTATGGAAACATCTATCTATTACCCTTCCTTCTTTTCTTTCTTTCTTCCATGGGGCCTGTAACACTCAGAACCCCAGAAGGAAACAGACAGCACACTCCACTTAGATTAATTTACAGGGGGCTTATAAAGGGACTATGGGTAGAGTATAGGGAATCCTTAGATACTGCAGTTAGTACTCTGGCACTTATAGCTGTTACTACTCCCAAGCCTAAAGGGATAAGAGGTGGTACCAGAAACTGAAAACAGAGGGTCAGATAGAGAGCACTGCCTTGAAAGGAACAGGGACATTAGGTTGAGAGACACAGACATCTCAGGTAGGAAGCAGGGGAAATAAACATTTATTCTCACTTCTCTTGTATCCCTCCTTCCATTAACCAAACTCACTATGAAACTAGATGGAATAAGAACCCACAGATGAAATCTTTATAGGTCAGCATGCCATGACAAAGCAGGAATGAAAAGGGTAGAGTGTAGATCTGGACAGGCAAAAGGAAGATTTCCAGCCCAATCAAGAAAAACAAAAGCTATCACAGTAGATAAACTTGGCTTTCAAAGAAAAAAAGAGAGGAGATTAAATACAGATAAATAACTGTAGTTCTTTCTACTACTCCAAAAATTTCAATAGTGGATACAAAATAGATGTCAGTTTTTTGTACCATTGAATTAAGATTCTATGATATTAAAACATATTTTGAAGAACTTCAGGTATGTATCCTCTCTGTAAAGCATGCAACATTCATCCAATTTTGTTTTATTGCTCTTTCTGACTGTATTCTGAACCCTTTATGTAAGTGCAATGAGGACATTAATAGTAAGGTCATGGGCTCAATTCCCTTATAAGCTCATTACTGTGACAAGAGCAAGAAAAGCAAAAGCAAACTATTAGTGATAAATGGAATCACAAGAGAATAGTATGAGTACCTCAATGCTATGGTGATAGACTTTTTTTTTTTTTTTTTTTGAGACAGAATCTCGCTTTGTTGCCCTGGCTAGAGTGAGTGCCGTGGCATCAGCCTAGCTCACAGCAACCTCAAACTCCTGGGCTCAAGCAATCCTCAGCCTCCCGAGTAGCTGGGACCACAGGCATGCGCCACCATGTCCAGCTAATTTTTTCTATATATATATTTTTAGTTGTCCAGATCATTTCTTTCTATTTTTTAGTAGAGACGGGGTCTCGCTCTTGCTCAGGCTGGTCTCGAACTCCTGACCTTGAGCAATCCACCTGCCTCGGCCTCCCAGAGTGCTAGGATTACAGGCGTGAGCCACCACGCCTGGCCGGTGATAGACTTTTAAAAAGCTCCAAGATTTTCTTTTGCTGACAGCATCGTCTTTGAGTAGACCATCCTTTTCCTTCTGTCTTACAAGTTCCCTACCAATCCCTTCCCCTACCTTAGGGGTTGACAAATCTTCTATAAGGAGCTAGATTAAATATTTACTAATATTTGAGTGCTGTGGGCCAGTCTCCATTGCAACTACAGAACTCTTCCATTGTAGAATAAAAGTAGAGATGATATGTACACAAATAAGTGTGGCTATGTTCCAATAATACTTTATTTATTAATACAAAAACAGGTGGTAGGCTGATTTTGGCTTGTGGACTGTAGTGTGCCAACCCATGCTCTACCTTATCCCTACAGTCTCTTTATTTTTGCTCCTCTAATTTTCTTATTACTTGTATTTCTTTCACCTCCCATCAAAAATGCCATTCCCTATCACCCTGTATCACTTCCATGTCTCACTTGAAGGCTACTGTATACAGTAAAGCTGTATTTTCTATCTCGGTGTCTGCCTGCTTGCCCTTGCTTGAAATAAACACCCAGAAGAGGTGTCAAGCAAAATATTTCACATAACCAGAAACTTAAGACATTCAGAAAATGATTGAGACTTTTAGGTTAGAGGGCAGCAAGAAAGACTATTTGAATAAACAATAACTTTAAGTTTACCTGGCTCCAAGTTGAGGCACCTTTGGTCCTATATTGAATGTCATATTTCAGTCTTATAACATTCTTCATATTTGAGTTGATCCATGTCAATTTTAAGATACTAGACAGTTCCTCTGAGTTGCTCACTGATAAATTATGTGGTGCATTGGGCTTTACTGAAGAAGAAAATAAATCATAGTGTTTATTAGGTTTTACTTTTACAACTTCATATATAAATTCAAATATACTCTTTATATTTTTCTTTAATTTACAGTATTTATTCTTACCAAATGAACAAATTTCTTTGAAAACAATGCTATGCGATACAATATAATGGAAAGGAAAGGTTTCTAAAGAAACTTTAGTTTTTATCAGTTTATTACACTTATTAATCTTTTCAGGTGCATATATCAAAAGACAACTAAACATTCATGATACATCAAATTTTTAAAAAGAATAAAAACAGAACATGTATATTGTGATTACAATGGTATAAAAAGTTTGAGAACTGGAAAAATACGAGAAGATAACATTCGAAGTGAAAAAAGCTCTGAGTGTGGTTAGATTATGGATATTTTTCTTTTTCCAAATTATATTTAATATTATTGATAAAATGACTTTATAAAAATCACTAAGATAAATAAATGCTTGTTCCTACATTAATTAAAATCTAAAAACCACTTTAATTTATAAACTGCTATTTAGTCTAATAAATCTCAAATTCAGCTTTATAACTACCTTTATCTACAGGATCAAAATTGATATGATCTGATGTAACCTTCCCAAGGGCATTCTCTGCTTCTACCCAGACTTCCATGTTGACAAAATACACAGGAGAATAATCAACAGTGCATGAGGTGGGGGTGTCACGTTTTGTTTTACAATCAGCAAATTTCTCTGTTGCCCTAATAAAAAAAAATGGAAGAATCAGTCATTAAAAATATATCTGAAAAAATAAGAGCGAAAAAGTTCCTTAAAAAGAGTTTGATGAGACCCAAATTGTTGTAGCAAATAAATTGCTGATCACTAAAAACAAATAAAATTTCTTAAAAACTAACCTGCCTTTCTTTAAAACGGAATTTGATCTTTATCTTATGACACAAAATTATTTCCAAATGTTTAGTCTAAGGATACTGTACTTTAGAATTTTATGCTCCATTCCCACTGATACCTCTCCAAAAAGATCGTTTCCTTGTGATCCTAGTACTGTTTTTCTCCTTTCCTGAAACAGAATCTTTAGTGTCCCAGAAACATCTTTAAGCACAATATGCTTTCTAAAAGCACAATACGCGAGGTGATAGGAGGTCAGTGATAAAAACTTCTATCACCCCAGAAAAGTTCCTCAGCCTCTTTCTAGTCAAACCCAGGCAACCACTTTCTGATTTCTATCACCATATTACCATATTACTCATATGTGTATAAATTATGCCTCAATTAAAAATATTTATATACAATTACTATTTTTAAAAATAGGACAAATCAAACCAAAACAAAAATGGATAACCTCTAGGGGAAAGAAGGAAACAAAGTAGAGGAGACAGGGATAGAATTTAAACTTCTCTGAATATACCCTGTTTAACAGATTTGACAGATTTGATTTATTATTTTACATAATTATTAAGAAAAATTCCTAAAAATCAAAAGCAAAATGAGACATATTGACTTGTATACTGAGTTTTTGGTATAACCACACAGAAAGGAACTATTTCAAGTAACTTTAAAACATAGTAAGTAGACTACGCATCCTTCATGGAGAAAAACAATCTTAAAATTGGTTTTAGTAATCATATTGGTGCTAATACTAGCATTGTCATTTTGAAAATGTTGTGTTTACTGTAGGATAAAGCAAATTAATAATTATGTTGGTGTCGTTGGGAACTAGGATTTTCAGTGCAGAAGAGAGGATACAGATGTTAGATGGATGAAATTATGTAAATACCTGTATCCTGATTTTAAATTGGAAATATTAGTATGAGTTCATATTTTTTATGATATATTTTATCTCAAACTACAAACATTTCCTAGCTCTTTCCACTGAAAAAGCCTAGAAACTATGACAACCAAACAGCAATGAATTCCTCCAGCACCCAGACTAATCTCTAAATATTATTTCACACTGAATGGAACCTAGGATCCTTGGGAAATGGTTGATTCTGGGTCTGGGTGAGGAAATACATAAGATGAACCTGGAAAATCATGTTATACCAGAAATCAAGGAAGCTATCAAAGGCTAATGAAGTGTCAAAAGGATACATGAGACAATCTGAATAAACTCCCACCAATCAAAGATGGAACAATTTAAGCATCAGTAAGAATAACCATAATGGATTAAAATCTATCAAATATGTTTAAATATAATTTCTTAATGAGGGAGAAAAATCCCTCATTATATACCTTCCCTAGGATGCTAGGGAATCAACTCATTATAAAACTGGTAATAAAGGAAAAATATTAACATCACTTTGCTTCTGCTTCTCTTATCTGAATTGTGAGGTCACCCATAGTTGATAAAGAAAATTTTTAAGTATTTCAAAAAAAAAAAAAAAAAAAAGAAAACCCATACAAAATACCACAATTTTGTAACTTATATACAAATAATGATTACTGATGACTGCTCACACCTATAGGGGAAAAAACTAACGGGAAGCAATATGGTTAAATTTCAGAAACATTCTGCTGAGTCACAGAAACCTTTCGCCAGAGAGTATATACTATATAATTCCATTTATATGATATTCTGTAATGGCAAAAATGATCTATGGTGAAAGAAATCAGACAATTAGTTGCTTGTGGGGTGGGGTGGGGTGGTGGCCAGGATTGACTGGGAAGGGAGCATGAGGGAACTTTCTGGGGGTGTCAGTAATGTCCTGTATCTTGATAGTTGGTTTTAGTTATAAAGGTGTATGCACTTGTCAAAATTCACTGAATGATACACTTAAGATTTATGTTTTCATTACATGTAAATTTTACCTAAAAACAAACCTGTAAGCAAACACTGAACTCTAGTTAATGATGTAAATACTGAAATGTTTAAGGGTAAGGTATGTTAATGACTGCAACTCACTTTGAAATGCATAAAAAAAGAGATATGGATGGATAGATGGAGAGAAGGATGCATAGATAAACAGGTATGTGATGAAGCAAATATACTAAAATGTTAACTGTAGGATCTAGGTGATGGGTATGTATGACTTTTCACTGTAAAATTCTTTCAACCTTTTTATGTTTGAAAAAATGAATGGGAAATTTTATTAATATTAAGAATGGCCGGGCGCGGTGGCTCACGCCTGTAATCCTAGCACTCTGGGAGGCCGAGGCGGGCGGATCGTTTGAGATCAGGAGTTCGGGACCAGCCTGAGCAAGAGTGAGACCCCACCTCTACTAAAAATTAGAAAGAAATTAATCGGCCAACTAAAAATATATACAAAAAGTTAGCCGGGCATGGTGGCGCGTGCCTGTGGTCCCAGCTACTCCGGAGGCTGAGGCAGAAGGATTGCTTGAGCCCAGGAGTTTGAGGTTGCTGTGAGCTAGGCTGATGCCATGGCACTCTAGCCCGGGCAACAGAGCAAGACTCTGTCTCAAAAAACAAAAAACAAAAAACATATTTATAAGACAACGGGGGAAATTAATGCTAGCAGAAAATTGATGATACTAAAGTATTTTAAATTATATCTGGGTATAACAATGGCATGTAGATATGTTTTAAAAAAAGTGTTCTTACCTTTTAGAGATATGTACAGAAATATTTATGAATGAAATGATAGGTCTGAGATTTTCCTCAAGACAATATGGGGCGGAATATACATAAAATAAGACTGGTCATGAGCTGACCATCGTTGAAGCTGGGTGATCGGTACATGGGGATTTATACTATTCTTTCTACTTTTATGTATAACTGATATGTTCCAAAATATAAAGATAAATGTTTAAAAATTTACATTTAATACTATTACTTGTTAAAATAAAAATTTCAGCAAAAATGATTAATAAATCCAACAAACAACAAACTTAAAATAATGTACCATTCGGATTTTAAAGTGAAGTTTGTTTCCAGGTATGTTTCCCTTCCAGGATCCCAGTAACACTTCATTTTCCTTCCTTCATTCACAATGCAATTCAAATTTTTAGGTTTCTCTGGAGGCACTAAAAGGGAAAAATTAGCATTTCTCAAAAAGTTTTATATCCACAAATATTATGCAATTTATATACTAGTCAAGGCATTTACAACCTAAATTCAGATAGAAAAAACAAACGCAAGCAAAAAGAATGGACATAATGAAAGACTGGTGACTAAAAGTTAATTTCTTTTTTATTCAAACTCAAACTTTGCTTCAGATAGTAACATATTTTCTATCTTAATTGTCATTAACTAGTTTGTTTCACATTAATTTCCTACATAAAATCAACGTTCATTTATAAGTGGATAAAAATATCAACTGATCTCTCCATCAAGTATACTTTTAAAAGTAATATTTAGGCCGGGCGCGGTGGCTCACGCCTGTAATCCTAGCTCTCTGGGAGGCCGAGGCAGGCGGATTGTTTGAGCTCAGGAGTTCGAAACCAGCCTGAGCAAGAGCGAGACCCCCATCTCTACTAAAAATAGAAAGAAATTAATTGGACAACTAAAAATATATAGAAAAAACTAGCTGGGCATGGTGGCGCATGCCTGTAGTCCCAGCTACTTGGGAGGCTGAGGCAGGGGGATCGCTTGAGCCCAGGAGTTTGAGGTTGCTGTGAGCTAGGCTGACGCCACGGCACTCTAGCCCAGGCAACACAGTGAGACTGTGTCTCAAAAAAAAAAAAAAGTAATATTTACATATGTTAATAAGAGGCAATTAAATAGAAGCAAAAAGGATTCATTTATATTTCTCTTCTTATTGCTTTCCCAAACTCTGCTGGAAGAAAAGCAAATACTGAAATCATGAAGTTTGGGAGATAGGTAAATTTGATAACCTACTTTTGGACCACAGAAAGTTTACTTTATTTACTTTGACCTTTAAGAAGGACTTTCTCCAGGATTTATTCACCTTCTTCAGGCAGCTGCTTTATATGTGCATGTTCTCAGCAATTAAGGGATATTTTTTTTATGTGTGTCATCCTTGCGCAGGGACCATGCTAATCTTCTCTCTGTTGTTCCAATTTTAGTATATGTGCTGCCGAAGTGAGCACCAATTAAGGGATATTGAAAGTTACTTTGAATACATTCACAGATTTCAATTCAACAATACTTTTTTGGGGTATTATGTCAAATACTTTCTAGAAAACTGAAAAATGCTTGACTTTCAGGAATGAGACTTGCATTATTCTTTAGGCTTTTTGTATATTAATAATGCAAATGTAGTTTTTTACTTCTAAGCTTAAAAAAAAATGTCCAAAGGTCACCGAGTCCACAGGTTACTGCACTTCATAAAGATCAACAGACATTAAAAATGTGGTTCAACAGTCATGACAAAGTCTGAAATAAGACAAAAACAAAACTTACAGCCTGAAATTAGTGTGATTCCATAAACATTCTGCTCAAGCTGTCCAAATGTAAGAATGTTGCAAATCAGTTGAGTATTTAAGGAAGCTACATCTGTTAAGGTGACACTGGCAGCTGTTTTGTTTATGATCGTATATTGCTCCTTAGGAATAGTAAAATGGCTTATTTTCCAGACAATGAAATTAGCATTTACATGATAATAATCCATACAGTCTTCCTTTAGCACACAAACTGCAGTGAAATTAGAACCAAGTTGTACAACTGGAGATTCAGGACTGATATGACCACATGGATCTATAAGTTCACCTAAAAAGGAACAACAAAAAAATACATCAAATGGACTGAATTTTTCTGGTACAAAATGATATCTGGCTGGTAGCACTCAATGTAGAGTCCCTTAGCCTTCACTAAATATCCCTAAAAAAAGAAGAAAACACAGCTGAAAAATAATTATGGTCAGAATTTAATGCCTAAATTTGTAAAGACATACACAAATTACGGGGCAGATAGAGATGAATTAAGAAAAACCTATTCGAGCTTTAGCTCACGGTATGTATACTATTCTAACTTTTCTTCAGGAAACACAGACTGCCTGTAGCATGATTCATACTTGCCCCACCACCTATCCTGTTCCTTGATTCAAACTCAGGGTCTAAACAACTCTCTAGAAAACAGGCAGTGTTAGTCTCCTCTCCTCTCTAGTCTTGAATGCTGTTGTAGGGTGCACATGGGGGCACAGGGAGACAGTATACATTGTCCATATGTCAAAATTCAGACAACAAAGGAAACAGGAAGCAATAAAAAACAGAAAGAATAGAACAAGATGGCCAAATATTAGTTTTAACAATAAATGTATGGGATAAGATCCCCTATTTAAAAGCAAAGAATCAGATTGGATAGACAATGAAACACAACTATGTTTTTACCTATCACCTATTCCATGCTGGTGAGTAAATCCCTATCTTTAGCTCTCGCTTCTCATGCTTTCAATAGCCTATTAGACCTCAGCTATCCTGTAAGTACTTTTAAACAACACATCTAAAACTATATGCATCATAGTTCCTTTCAAACTTATTATTTCTTACTCTTATTTCTCTAACTCTGCTAACAGCATCACTTCCATCCAGTCATCTAGGCCAGATACTCTGTAGTCACCCTCAACATCTCTACCTTCTTCTAACCTCAAACTTAACAATACTGCACTAAGTCATGTTGGTTCTATTTTCTTTTTTTGAGACAAAGTCTCGCTCTGTTGCCCGGGCTAGAGTGCCGTGGCATCAGCCTAGCTCACAGCAATCTCAAACTCCTGGGCTCAAGCAATCCTTCTGCCTCAGCCTCCTGAGTAGCTGGGACTACAGGCATGCGCCACCATGCCTGGCTAATTTTTTTTATATATATTTTTAGTCGTCCAGCTAATTTCTCTCTATTTTTAGTAGAGACGGGGTCTCGCTCTTGCTCAGGCTGGTCTTGAACTCCTGAGCTCAAATGATCCACCCGCCTTGGCCTCCCACAGTGCTAAGATTACAGGCATGAGCCACCACACCTCGCCGGTTCTACTTTCTTAATAGGTGTATCAACCTCTTCTTTCTAATGCTACTTTGACTGCTGAAGCTCAGGCCATAAATATTATACTAGTCTGAACTTCTTCTAGTTTATCCTACACACTGCTGCCACAGTCACTGTTCTAAAATGATTATGACATTTACCTCCTTTGAATTATTTAGTGGCTACCTATCACTACCAAGATAAAAGTCCCAACCAACTATTTGGCATGACTCTATTCTCTTTCTGTAGCTCTGCAAGTCCCCAAACCCCAGGCCGCAGACCAGTACCTGTCCATGGAAAAATTGTCTTCCATGAAACTTAGGAATCAGGGCGGGGAGCGGGGGTGATAGCAGGAGGTGAGCGGGGCAGGCGAGCAAGCGAAGCTTCTTCTGTATTTACAGCCACTCCCCGTGGCTCGCATCACTGCTTGAGCCAATTTTTCATGAAAAAACTGTCTTCCACGAAATTGGTCCCTGATACCAAAAAGGTTGGGGACCATGCTTAGCTTCGGTGTCCACAATTCTGAGGCAGCTTTCCTCAATGAAGCCTATTTGCTGATGGTTTTTTGGATGGTTAGCCATGAAGTTATTTTTGAAATTAAAAATTACTTATGTAAAGCACCTAGTACAATACCGGCACTCAACAGGTAGTCTAGCAACATTATTACTACTCTCCAGATATAGATAATCGAGTCACATTAGTAGGTTTAGAAGGTTCTATCACAGATGACTGGTTCTAGCACTTAAGGTAAAAGGCACAGAATAACAGAATTATGAAGCTGTAAAGAACCTTGGAGATCATTTACTTCAACCCTTTATTTTATGGATAAAGAAAGCTGAGATACTTTTATAGAGTCAACCTTAATTACCAGCTAGACTCTTCCAATTTCCAACTCTGTTCCAAGATAGATGACACAAAGGATAAAACTACCTTAAAAAGTTAACAATTATAATATTTTCTTATTCCATATCATTCAAAGTCAGCAAGAAGAATTAAAAAGAGTCTTTGCAGTCAAAACTATACTCCCAAATGAAAACCTAGGATCTCTCATAAGGCCTCTAAGGCCCAGAGTAGAATGTGTATTTCTTTGTTTCAAAACGTGTAATGCCGCCTGTTCATATCACCCTGCCATTACTTATACATGTCTAGTGTAAGTCCTAGCGCATTTATTACTCACCATTTCCAACAGTATGGAACTTCACCTTGTGGAGGAGCTCTACAAACAAGATACCCTGTGTAACTGGCCAGACCTTACACTTTCCTAGACCTCACTTTATTCCTTGGCAAAATCACTCCTGATATATTTTCTCTAAAGTAATTACAGGGAACAGTAAATATGAAATATACTCTAGAGTACTAAACACATAGGATATAATAAGACTCAAAATTGTTAATTTTTAATCATACAGAATAAAAGAATACTAAAAATGGGCAAATATTCCAGTTTTCAAAGTGAAACACAGGTCCATTAAAACCATCGTATGCTAAATTAATCTCATTTTTACAGGGCTACCAGACTGAGATTAAATTGTAGAAAGAGAATATTTTAATTAAGAAAGGTATTAATATTTGATAAAGTTATTTTGACCATGTGGGCAAGATGAAGAAATGTGGATTAGAATGTACTAGAGTAGATATTAGAATAAACATGATAGCTGATATTTGGCTATTTTTCATAGGCTCAAACTAATAAATTTTTGATTACTCATATATAAAAAATACTGGCTGGGCGTGGTGGCTCATGCCTGTAATCCCAGTACTCTGGGAGGCGAAGGTGGGAAGATCACTTGAGGCCAGGAGTTTGATACCAGCCTGGGCAACGTAGTAAGACCCTGTCTCTACAAAAAGATAAAAAAAAATTGACTAAGAAAAAAGTCAATGAGAGGGTGATATTGAGCAGAATATGCTAAAGTGCCTCTCTTCAGTCCTTGGGGCAGACAGTATTTTTCAAGGATGGCCACACCTATATATTCATTCGATCCCACGTATTCTTCTTACAACGTCACTGATACACCTTTCACGAAGAAGTAGGTTCCACATTCCCCCCAAACATCTCATATCTGTGTGGGTGCTTGTGTCTACCCCAGACTATGGAGTGTGCTATGACTTCCAAGGATAGATCATTAAAAGAATACAGCTTCTGACAAGCAATCTTTGATTCTTGGGACATTTGCTCTTGGAACCCAGCAACATGTTGTAAGGAAACCAAGGCCACATGAAGAGGCCATGTGTGGTGTTTTGGCCAACAGCCCCAACAAAGCCCTCAGCCTACAGCTAGCAATAATAATACCAGACATATAAGTGAATGTACCTGCAGATGACCCAGCCGCCAGTCTTTGAATATTCTAACTGAGGCCCCAGACATGGTAGAACAAAGATGAATCAGTCTGGCTGTGCCTGCCTGTCTGTATTTCTGGCCCATACAATCCATGAGAGGTGTCATTTTTACCCTTGAAGTTTTGGAGTTTTTGTAAGGCAGTAAGAGACAACTAATGTAGGTAGTCCTGTTATTTTCAACATTTTCATCAACAACTTGGGGGAAGTCTTTATCTCTGAGACACACACTTATCAAATTAGCAGAGGACAGGACTAGGAATGGTCACCAAAACTTTGAATGAAAATGTTAGGATTCAAAATTATGTTGAAAGATTAGAACAATAGGTTAAAACTAATAAAATGAAATTTGCAACAGAGGAAATTTTCCTATTAGGATTGATAAGAAATATATATATAGGGCGAGGGATAACTGGCTTAATGTAATTCATGTGAAAACAACCTAAGAATTTTCACTGACCACTAGCTTAACATGAAACTGTATCTCAGCTGCCAAAAAGCTATGTTGCTTTATAAAAATGATGTTCAGATCAAACTAGTTCAGACTAGTTCTGGTACATTTATTTTTTTCACAAAGTACACTGTATTCAAAGACAACAATAACCATAGTAATACACATACAAAAACTATCCTTTTTATAATGCTTACTGTGGGCCAGGCACTGTCCAAATGCTTTCTGTATATTAACTCATTTAATCTTCACAAAAACCCTAGAGCGTAGGAACCATTATTATCCCCATGTTATAGATCAGGAAACTGAGGCACAGATTAAATGACTGGCCAAAGTCCTACGGCTGGGTAAATGGGAGAGCTAGGATGGTATTATATTTTTATATAATATACAGTCAACTGAGTGAAGACTCAGGAGGGCAATCAACACACACAGGGTTGGAAGCCACATCCTGATGAATGATTAGGATAACTGGGTAAGTTCACTTGGGGGAAGAGGGCTTAGAGACATAGGAAAGCAGTCCTTCAATATCTGAAGAGAGAACAGTAAGAAGAGAAATTTAACCTACTCTAGAAGCACAATTCATAGGAAAAAGTTACAAGAAAGAAAATGTGGGTTCAAGAATAAGGAAAGCCTTTCTAAGTAAGATAGATTTTCAATATAACCTTTCTGCTACTTTAAGTGTCCAGCAAGAAGTTTCATTCCTGCATTTGGAGGAGTGATTTAGAGCAGTGCCTCTCAAACTATCTGTGATGAAAGATCAGGTTTTTCTTCTCTTCCAATCTGTCACAAACTTATACTTTTGTTCTATACTGTGACAATAAAAGTCCACCAATCACATGCTTGGATGTCATGGCTATATCAAATTGTTAAGAGTGACTAAAGGTTTATTCTTAAATTCTGTGTTTATTTCATTGTGGACCAGTAACAACCAGATCTCAGGAGAGCATCAGGCTATAAACCACAGTTTGACTGGTACTGCTTCAGGTACCTCTTAATTCTGGTTATCATAACCACACTGCTCAGTGACACTTCTGGGAATTAAGAAGTGAAGTGCTAAGAGTTAACAGATTTTCTCCTATTCCTCTATTAAAAAAAAAAAAAAAAAACCAAAACATGATTTTTTTTCCTTCTCCACCTTAAAGTTACTGTTAGTATAGCTAAACAGCAATTGGGATTACTGATGACTGAGTGTTACAACTCAAATTATACAAAACAGATCATCAACAGTATTTTTACTTACTAAAATCATTTTAAGACAATAATATTCTCTCAATAATTATCCTAGAAAAACTATAAAAGCATAAGTAAATAATGATTAAAGATAAGTTCAATTACAAAATTATATAAAAATATGTAAAGCTGAATTTGTAGAGTTAGCAGATAGGGTATTTCAAGAACCTTACCTATAGATCCAGTGATGAGGAAAATAAACAAGGCTTGCACTAGCCAACTCTGCAACACTGACATCTTGCATAGATACTTCTGTAACAAACACATGTAATATTCTTTTTAATATTTTTTCTCTTATATACACATAACTTAAGATACAATCTTTTGTTTCCATTCTGTAGCTGTTTTCTAAAAGGTGGTAAAATCTTAATGAGAATGCAGAAAACAAGTTTTCAGATTATTTTTCTTTAGTCCCACTGAAGTCATGACTATGTAAACATTGCTAGAAAACATAATTTATACTTTAAGGTTAATTAAAAGAGAAATCCTGTTTCTTTACTACATGAAGTCTTACACTATTAGTAAATAACTCTTGAGATTGAGAATTTGAGAGAGACAAATTTTTGCATGGCAAAATCCACTATAAGTAACCTCAAAAATTACTTGACAGGCCGGGTGTGGTGGCTCATACCTGTAATCCTAGCACTCTGAGAGGCCGAGGCGGGAGGATTGCTTGAGCTCAGGAGTTCGAGACCAGCGTGAGCAAGAACGAGACCCCGTTTCTACTAAAAATAGAAAAAATCAGCCAGGCATGGTGACACATGCCTGTAGTCCTAGCTATTCGGGAGGCTGAGGCAGGAGGACTGCTTGAGCCCAGGATTTTGAGGTTGCTGTGAGCCAGGCTGACGCCACGGCACTCTAGCCCGGGCAACAGAGTGAGACTCTGTCTCAAAAAAAAAAAAAAAAAAAAAAGATACTTGACAAATGGAAAATAATGTTTGTAATCCATAACATGACCAAATGACTGAAAATATTCCCCAATATATGAAGAATGCCTACAAATCACTAAAAAATTCTAACATCTCACAGAAAAACAGGCAAAAAGATTTGAATAGGCAGTTTATAGAAAAGGAAATATAATTAACTCAAACATATGAAAAGAAACTTTCAACATTACTCAAAATGAGGTACCCAGAAAGGAATGCAAAACGATACACTCTGGAAAACAATTTGGCTGTTCTTTACCAGGTTAAAAGCACACCATAAAACTTGGTATTTCCACTCTAAGAACGTATGCCCCAGAATAAAAGTATATGTCCACACAAAGATTTATTCTCACTCAAGCATTCACAGCAGCTTTATTCATAATAGTTCCAAAGTGGAACCAGTCTAAATGTCCAATGACTAGTAAATGGATATATGTATGTTCAAACAATGGTATAGCAACACAACAAAATACTACCTAGTTATTTATGGAAATGAACTAGTGATACATGCAATAGCATGAATATATTTCAAAGGCATTATGCTGAATGAAAGAAGCCAGATACAACAGGCTATATACTGTACAATTCTATTTATAGGAAATTCTAGAAATAGCAAAACTAGGGTGACAGAAAGCAGATTGGGTTTGTCTGGGGCTGAGGCAGAAGAGGGGGACACATGTAAAGGGGCACACAGGAATTTTTGGGGGTGATGGATATATTTCTATGACCTTGTGGTGGTGACTACAAGATTATTTACATTTGTCAAAATTCATTGAATTGTATCAAGAATTGTGAAGGCTCTGGGATTTTACTCTACTTTCAAGCTAACAAGTTAGCCTGCCACAATTGATTAGATACTGGCAAAACACAGGAGACTACTGAGTCAGAGACAAAAGACTTTATTAGCCATAACAGTAGTCAGAACTATCAGCATTTTCTTGTGCTAGTTGCCCAAGCCTCAATTCTCACAGAGCATTGTGAAGAGTCAGGTGATACCTGCACAGGCTGCCTTACAGGAGAGGAAAATGGAGCTATGTTTAAAAATGAGCAGGAAGCATGCCTGGTCCTTTAACTCTAGAGGGAGACATCTTCCAAGGCTGTAAGCAAACCTGCCTTTTTCTATCTTCCAACATCCTTGAAGAGACAGTTCAGAAAAAAGGCAGTCAGGGCTTTTACTCATAAGACACGCAGAAATGCAAGAGGCCCATGGGTTTCCTATCAAATTATACACTAAAAATTGGTAAGTTTTATTGTTTATAAATTAGACCTCATTTAAAAATAAACAAAAGCTACCCAGACAAGGTGTATAGCCAAAAGAAATGAGTACTTAACGCTTCCAAAAGACATGTACAACAATGGTCATAGAAGTCTTATTCAAAAAAGCTGAAAAGTAGAAGAAGCTAAATATCCATAAACATTAGAACATATAAATTGTAGTATAATTAAGTAACTGAGTCACAGCAAAGAGAATAACTTACAGGTACATGCAACATGGATGAATTCCACATAATACAGAATGGAAGAAATCTGATACCAAAAAGGTACACTCTGCATCAGATTTCCTTTATAGGAAGTTCAAAAACAGGCAAAATCTATCACCTCTGGTGACAGAGGTCAGAATAGTAGTTATCTTTTTGTAGGGAAGAGGACAAAAGTGGGCATTCTGGGGTGCTGGGCATGCTCTATTATCTTGATCTGGACAGTGGTAAAAACTAATTAAGCTGTATGTACATTTATGGGTTCTGGACTTTATAGTATGTATTTAGTAAATGAGGTAAACAAACCAAGAACTATCCCAATACCATTCTCACCTACAGTGTTGGCAAAAACATAAAAACCAAAAAGGTACCAACGTGGTGTGGTAAGACTAATCAATAAAGGCATTGTTATATACTACAGGTTACTATGTAAACTGGCATAAGCTTCCCAACAAATTGTCCACTTAAAAATTTGTGGGCCGGGCACGGTGGCTCACGCCTGTAATCCTAGCACTCTGGGAGGCCCAGGCGGGTGGATCGTTTGAGCTCAGGAGTTTGAGACCAGCCTGAGCAAGAGCGAGACCCCGTCTCTACCAAAAATAGAAAGAAATTAATTGGACAGCTAAAAATATATATAGAAAAAATTAGCCGGGCATGGTGGCACATGCCTGTAGTCCCAGCTACTTGGGAGGCTAAAGCAGGAGGATCTCTTGAACCCAGGAGTCTGAGGTTGCTGTGAGCTAGGCTGACGCCATGGCACTCTAGCCCGGGCAACACAGTGAGACTCTGTGTCTCAAAAAAAAAAAAAATTTGTAAATTTTGTTATTTGTAAATTAGACCTCAATTAAAAATAAACAAACCTACCCAGACAAGCCAGTATTGCAATTTCGATCAAAATTAAAACGCATACATTTGAATCTAATGATTCTGCTTCTAGTTGTTTTACCTTATAGATATGAGCAAAACAACACACGTCCAATGTATTCACTACAACAATGTTTATAATAGAAGGTTGAAGCTACCTAAATGTTCATGATAGGGCACTAGTTAAATTAAGGTATACTGAAACATAGTATGTAGTAGCCATTAAAAAAATGAGCTCTATATGTACAGATATGTAATGTTATCTAAAACATATTGTTATGATACAGAATAGTGAATTTGCTTATTTGTGGGCAAAAAATAAAAAAGAAAACAAAACACATTCATTTCTTTATATATGCATAAAATATCTCTTGAAGGATATTCCTAGAAGGAAGTATTAATACATCTCCTACTGGGGTGGAAAGAGATTCTCCACTATATACTCTTTGCAGCTTTCCAAGTGTTGTACCATGTGACTTTAATACTTATATAAAAAATAAATATAATTCAAATAAAGAATCACAATGTGTAAATTTTTTCTCATAAATAAAACTATTAATTTCTTGATGAGGGAGGGTGTTATAGTACTATACTTGTTACACAGTATTCTTTTATTAAATATATAAACTTATGTACTCCCTAACAGGTAAGTCACCTCTGTAACAAAATTATTTGATAATGAACTGTTTAGATTGTATTAAGAAAAGGTATAAAAGAACTAAGTTGCAGGAACCATTTTCCCCTACCCGTTTCATTCTCTACTCCCCAACTTTAAATAGCCTCATACTGGAAAAATCTACTACTACACCATTCCATCTTTCTATTGATGTATTACATTCTTCTAATAAACTCCAAAACAAGAGATCCATGAAAGTATTTATGATTACTTCAAAGCAGTCAGATTTACCTGAGCAGTTCTATGGAACACAAGGAAAACAGGCAAAGGTAGGTTGCACATTTTAATAGTTAGAAAATAATGGCTCCTAATTTTTCAAAGATTGTCATTGAGATGTGATGAAGGAACATCTATTATAGCACTTGATTTCACAGTCCCAACCTAAGAGATGAAGACACAGTAGCACTATATAAAATATTATATGCAATATAGTTAACTTCCTTTGGGGGTATGTCTTGTTTTAAAATTGACAGAAATGACAGAACTCTGCTTATTTTCCCCTCCTTTCATTCTGCTGACAGTAAATATTCAATATAAAATTCTGCTAATGGCACTATCCTGTCTCCTTACCTCTTGCAGAATTTTCTATGCATATATTACAACTATATATTGCATAGATTGATTTTCCTTGAAATCACCATGTTATCTGGGAAGCTTCTATGAAGCCAAAACATGACTAGTAACCATAAATACAGGAAAGGTTTATTCCAAGAACTGAGTGGTTCTTCTACAGTAGTAATTCCTCAACTATAGTGGTTCAATACAGCAGTGGTACTGAAAGGAGCTGTAAGATACATCACAAGTAATTTGCTACTAGTAATGTTAAAGTAACAAAGTTTATGAATGACTTAAAAAAATTAAAATGCAAGATTATCCCTATATTGTTCATTCTCATTTACTTTAATTCCCATGGATTTTCTCAAGTGGGAGAAAAACACTGGAGTTATAATTAATAAATATTTAATAGTTGTGCCCTTTATAAATTATTTTTATTGCCTATGGATTGTAATTTTTACATTTTCTTTTTAATACAACCCAAAGACAGAATGAAGAAGCATCACTAATACATTCAGATTTACTTTGTACATAAGGAAAAATATCAATATAAACTTTGTTACTATAGTAACATTACTACCGTAACTGTGGAATAGTGTATGAACTACAATTGCCAAACAGAAGGCAAAGTAATGTTTATTGAATGAATAAGCTGAGTAAGGATCAGGATGGCAAAAATTTCTGTACAGTATCTTGTATAGTACAGTGTTATTATGAATAAAGTTGCAAAAAGTTGGTCATACCTACATAAAATTAACTATTAATTATTTTAAAAATTATCCACACTCTGCTCTCTTCCATCAGTACCCAATTATTTCACAACACTTTGATACTATTTTACATTATATAACATGCTTTCATGTAAATTATTTCACTTGATTCTCCTAATATCCTAGAGAAGCAGGTAGGTAGGGCAGGGATTATTTATTGGAATTTAACAAAATAAAATACAAAAATTCAGACAAGGTAAATTACTTACCCCAAACACAAAATTAATAAGTGAAGGAGCAGGGGTTTGAAACTAAATCTTCTGACTCCAAATATCGTGCTCTTTCCATTGGGTCTCGCTGTAAACGGAGGAGAGCCTTGTTCAGAAAGTTGGCTTTGATAATATTTTATTATGTAAGTACTTTTTAGATCCCTCTCTGTTTTTAGGCTTTCAGGTTTGCAGAAAATATCTCATTTAGACATCTCCTGAGTTTCAGAATAAAATAATCCCATAAATACTGGTGTATTCAAATATCCTAGTATTATGTTTTGATGTACACTTGCAAACATTATTGGTTCAACTATGCCTAATCCATACTTCCTTGATGTCTACGTAACATTACAGAAATGTGAAAGGGACATTTTGTTGAATTTGACAATTTGACAAAAGCAGTTAAAGCAGTTCTTTAACACTGCAGTCCCCAACCACCCGCCCTCCTCCCCAACAGACAGATCCTCGGCCTGTTAGGAACCAGACTGCAGAGCCACCCCCCACAACCATACAGAAAAATTGTCTTCCATGAAACCGGTCCCCAGTGCCAAAAAGGTTGGGGACTGCTGCGAATCATACTTTTTGTCTTTTATTACCATTAAGTTAAGCCTGCTAACTCAACTACCAAACTATTCTATGCACAGACATAAAAATTCATCTTAAGATTTGCTCAGTACTATGTTAAATTCTAGCGTAAGAACTGGTGGCTCATTTTTGAAATATAAGAAGATAACTTCAAATTCAGGCAAGGAGTTGAATCCTTCATTATTGTTTCACATGCATTAAGTCTTTGATATAATTTAATAACATAAAAGGAATTATATTTATAACTATTTTTTTAAATGTCAAATGAAAAGAAATTGTAAAAATTTCATGTGAAAGTCCACTATAATCCCACTAAGAAATAACTACTGTGAACATTTTGGTGGACATTCCTGCAAAATTTTCTATGCATCTATTATAACTTTGTATTGTATAAATATATACTTTCCTATTTTACAAAAATGGAATCACACAAGTGATAAATCTTCTATAACTTGCTTTTGTCATTTAATACTACATATTGGACATCTAGGTTAATACATAAAGATTAATTCCTCGTAGCCTTCACTCAAATTCACCTTCCCATAAGATCTCCCCTAACTAGCCTGTGTTGCTTATCTCCCATTTCCTGTTTTTTCTCCATAGCATTTAACACCTTCTAAAATAGCCTAGCAAACATTTTCCGTAAAGGACCAAATAGCTGTGGGCCTTAAGTTCTCTGTTGGAACTAGCCATCCCTGTTATTAAAGTGCAAAAGCAGCCATAAAAAATATATAAACAAATGCACATCACTAAAACTTCATTTACAAAAATAGGATGCATGCTGGATTTGGTCTGTGGGCCACAGTGAGCCAACCCGTTTTAAATACCATGTAATTTACTTATTTTGCTTATTTTTTGTTAGAGGTTGAATTGTATCTCCTCTACAAAGCTATGTTGAAGTCCTAACCCCCAGTACCACAAAATGTGACTTTCTTTGGAAATAGGGCCATTGCAGATATAATTAGCTAAGATGTTATATTATACTAGCATAGGGTGGGCCCTTGGTACAGGAAGACCGGTATCCTTAGAAGAAGAGACATAGACGTAAGAAGAATGCCATGTGACAACACAGGCAAAGACTGGAGTTAAGCAGATGCAAGCTAAGGAATGCCAAAGGTTGGTGGCTACTGCCAGAAGCTAGGAACAAGCAAAGAAGGATTCTATCCAGAGTCCCTAAAGAACTTCTAGTCTCCAGAACATTGAGAGAATAAATTTCTGTTGTTTTAAGCATCCAGTTTGTGGTACAGATTGAGCATCCCAAATCTGAAAATCTGAAATGCTTCAAAATCTGAAACTTTTGCAGTACGAACATGACAAAGAAAATGCTTATTGGAGCATTTCAAATTTTGAATTTTTACATTTAGGATGTTCAGCTACTAAGTACATAAGCAAATATTACAAAATCTGAAAAATCAGAAATTTGACACACTTCTGGTCCCAAGCATTTCAGACAAGGGATACTAACTTGTACTTTGTTAGAGTAGCCCTAGGAACTAATACATTGTCTGTGTCCGCAAAACTGAAGGTCAGCGAGGAGTGGAATGGCTGGGCCATGTGGTAGGTGTATGCTTAGCTACATATTTTCTTTGGTTCATGTGTCTGTTCAACTATTTTTTCTTTTTTTTTGAGACAGAGTCTCACTCTGTTGCCCGGGCTAGAGTGTCATGGTGTCAGCCTAGCTCACAGCAACCTCAAACTCCTGGGCTCAAGGGATCCTACTGCCTCAGCCTCCTGAGTAGCTGGGACTACAGGCATGCGCCACCATGCCCAGCTAATTTTTTATATATGTATATATTTAGTTGTCCAGATAATTTCTTTCTATTTTTAGTAGAGACGGGGTCTCGCTCTTGCTCAGGCTGGTCTCAAACTCCTGACCTTGAGCGATCCACCCACCTCGGCCTCCCAGAGTGCTAGGATTACAGGCCTGAGGCACCAGGCCCGGCCTGTTCAAGTATTTTGATTACTTTTTTTTTTTTTTGAGACAGAGTCTCACTCTGTTGCCTGGGCTAGAGTGCCATAGCATCAGGCTAGCTCATAGCAACCTCAAACTCCTGGGCTCGAGTGATCCTCCTGCCTCAGCCTCCCGGGTAGCTGGGACTACAGGCATGCGGCACTGGGCCTCGCTAATTTTTTTCTATTTTTAGTTGTCCAGATAATTTCTTTCTATTTATAGTTGAGAAAGGGTCTCACTCTTGCTCAGGCTGGTCTCAAACTCCTGAGCTCATACAGTCCTCCCGCCTCAGCCTCCTGGAGTGCTAGGATTACAGGCGTGAGCCACCGCGCCTGGCCTATAGATCCGTATTTCCATCTGAGGCATTTGATATCATTTTCTTTCTGCCTAAAGGACTACCTTTAACATTTTTTTTGGTAATGTAGGGCTACTGGTGAGGAATTCTTTAAGTTTTTATATGTACCCAAAAAATCTTTATTCACTATCATTTTTCATAAATATTTTCACTGGGTATAGATTCTCAATTGACAGTTTTTTCTTTCAGTACTTTAAATATGTAAGCTCTACTTTCTTCTTGTTTGTATCGTTTCAAAATCTGTTATCATCCTTTTCTTTGTTCCTTTGTATGAAAGGTCTTTTTCCCTCTGGATGTGTTTAAGATTCCTTTTTATCACTAGTTTTGAGCCATTTGATTGTGATGCACCTCAGTGTACTGTTTATCATGTTTCCATTGATTGGAGTTTGTTGAGCTTCTTGTATCTGTTGGTTTCTAGTTTTTATCAAAAACTATAAAATATCTAGGACTAATTATATTCTCTACTATTAAGGCAAGATCTTTCTATATACTCTACCTAATGTCCCATGAATCAAAATGTTTTCCAATCTGGCTGGTGAGAACAGGCACTATTCCTGACCCATGGGAACACCACCATTACCTCTAATCCTTGCAGGAGGTTCTTTTCCTGGCCTTTGGTAGTTCCTTTATTTTACATATACACACTGCTCAGTACTCAGCTGAACAGAGGAGGGGGACCTCCGAAGTTTCCCCTGCAGAGTCCTTTCTTCTCCAGTATTCTTTCTGTGAACTTTAGTCACTTTGGTCTTCCCAGTCATTTCTTTAGGAGTGTCTACTGGGCTCAGCGTGGGTTTCCTCTACCTGCACGATGCATGGCCTAGAAACTCTCTGAAGAAGTAGTAGGCTAATGGAATCGCAGGGCTCACTGCATTTCCATCTCCTAAGATTGTTTTTTATCACCTGATGTCCAGTGTTTCGATTATCACTGTTTTATATATATTTTTGGTTTTCGGTTGTTTCAGGCAGGAGGGTAAATCTGGCCCTTGTTATTCCATCTTGGCCAGACATGCAAGTTGCATAGATGTTTGGATACCAAATCAAACAAGGATTACATAATAAAACTATTGTCAAACTGTCATGAATATTGGTGTAAAAAAGTCTAGATTTGAAAACAAAATCAAAATGTGAACACTAATAAGTATTTAGCCTAAAATATCAAGCATAGTTTAACATGAGAAAATATATTGTCACTCACTATATTACAAAATTAAAGAAAAACAACACGATCATTCCAACCAATGTTTGAAATGTATCTGATAATATTCAAGAACTGTTCATTTAAAATTTATAAATAACAACAAAGTGTCAGAAAACTAAGACTAAAAGAGACTATCCTTATATCAATGAAGTATAATAAAGAAGATAAGAGCAGGGATTCTGGAACCAGATTGTCTGTGTTCAAATCTCAGCTTCTCTACTTTTTTGTAAAACATCTTAGGCAAGTTTTTTAACATCCCTCACTTTCATTTCCCTTATCCGTAAAAATGAGAATAACACCCGTCACCTGCCCATCTACCACCTAGTAATGTTGTGACAAATAAATGAATACATGTAAAGTGCTCAGAATCATCTGGCTCATAGTAACTACTCAGTAAAAAGTAACAGCTCTTACTCTTAGTGCAGCTCTTGCTGTTACTGCCACAGGTACTACTATCAGAAACCTATAATAAGCATCTATATGTTTAAAGGTAAAAATAAGAAGCATTTCTATTAAAGTCAGGATTCAAACAAGATGCTTAGTGTCATCACTTATTTAACACTGTTCTAGAGGTCTTAACCAAAAATATAATAAATAAGACATAAAAATGGAAAAAAAATATAGACGATATGATCACCTATCAAGAAAAAGAATGAGGCCGGGCGTGGTGGCTCATGCCTGTAATCTTAGCATTTTGGGAGGCAGAGGCGGGCGGATTGTTTGAGCTCAGGAGTTCGAGACCAGCCTGAGCAAGAGCGAGACCCCGTCCCTACTAAAAATAGAAAGAAATTAATCGGACAAC